ATGTTGTTTATTGGTCCAGTGGTGAGGATTTTTGTTTTCCTGACATTGAGATGCAACCCATACCGAAGGCTGTGCTCTTTGATCTTCATAAGTAAATGTTTCAAGTCCTCTTCACTTTCAGCAAGCAAGGTTGTATCATCTGCATATCGCAGGTTGTTAATGAGTCTTCCACCAATCCTGACGCCACATTTTTCTTCATAGAACCCAGCTTCTCATATTATTTGCTCAGCATACAGGTTGAATAAGTATGGTGAAAGAACACAACCTTGTCGCACACCTTTCCCAATCTTAAAACATTCAGTGTTCTCATGCTCTGTTCGAACACTGCTTCTTGGTCCAGGTACAGATTCCTCAGAAGTACAATTAAGTGTTCCGGAATACTCATACTTCTCAATGTTGTCCATAGCTTGTCATGATCATGATCCACACAATCGAAAGCCTTTGCATAGTCAATAAAGCATAGGTAAACATCTTTCTGATATTCTCTGCTTTCAGCCAAGATTCACTGGACATCAGCAATGATATCTCTCGTTCCACGGCCTCTTCTGAATCCAGCTTGAACCTCTCTGGAAGTTCTCTGTCAATGTATGATTGTAGCCATTTCTGTATTACCTTTAGCAAAACTTTGACTCAGTGTAAGCTTTAACAGATTTAATTCTGTTGTGCCATGAAATCAAAATTCATTTACTAATTCATGGACTTGAATTCCAGACAGAAGACAAAAGTATTTTACAAATTATTTTACAAAAAACACATTCCAGTCCCCTATCAGTTTTTTTTTCAAGCTGAGAGACCAGTTTAAGAAAATTCCTATTTCCCAATACCTTACTTAAAATGATTTTACAAAGGAAAAGATTAGTTCCCCACAGTTGCTGTGCTATGCAGTACTTTCTCCCTGCTGCCAACTTTCTCTTCTCCACATTTTAGAATAGGAAGGAACCTTAGAAACCATCTAGTTCACCAGATTGAGCTCCACTTTTATCTTTCTACCCACCCCCTTGGCACTTAAGTGCTTATCAATAAATAGGTTTTTAATTTAATGAGATAACTATGCCTTCCCAAACTTCGTCTCTCATACGTCGGACATATTGTCAGGAAGGACCAGTCACTGGAGAAGGATATCATGTTTGGTAAGGTGGAGGGTCAGAGAAAAAGAGGAAGACGCCCACCAAGAGGCCATGGCTAAGTGGCAGCATCGATGGACTCAAGGGTAGCAACACTAGTGAGGTTGGCCCAGGATCAGGCAATGTTTCGTTCTGCTGTGCATTAAGTCACTATGAGTCGGTACTGACTGGATGGCACCTAACAACAAGAGCACACAAATGGGCCGCCAAAGGAACCAAGAGAGCCGTGTTGGAAGAAGTGCAGCCAGAGGGCTCCTTGGAGGCCAGGATGGCCTAACTTCATCTCTCGTACTTCGGACACACTGGTCAGGAGGGACCAGTCGCTGGAGAAGGATATCATGTTTGGTAAGGTGGAGGGTCAGAGAAAAAGAGGAAGGCCCCCAACGAGATGGACTGGCCAAGTAGCAGCATCGATGGACTCAAGCATGACAACAGTAGTGAGGTTGACCCAGGATCGGGCAGGGTTTCATTCTGCTGTACATAGGGTCGCTATGAGTCAATACCGACTTGATGGCACCTAACAACATCAAACAGCACACACATATACACACACACACACTGCTGATAGATTTCCGCTTCTGATTCATCTTCACTTGACTCTAAGTGATAACCTCTGACCAAAGTGTAATGAGGCTTTTTATTTTGAATAAAGACAAAGAGCATAAACATAAAACATTAGCACTGCAAATTAATGGCAGAAATCTGAATAAGATAACAATCAAATCTGTGTCACACTGGCTATTTAGAAGTATTTTTAAGTCACATTTACTTCTATTATCAGCTGCTATGACTATGTTAAGATAAATATGCAGTTCAAACTGACCTAGCTGAAACCAACTTCATGGTACACCACTACCACAACCACCATACATATGTGTTGTTGTTAAATGCCCTGTATAGGATTTCCAAGGGGCAGTAAACAAGTTTGCACCACCAACCTGGTGGTTAAGCAGTCCAGTGCTTATCCTACAGCGACACAACAGTACCTCATATGTGTGGGCCTTGTTGTTAAGTGCTGTCAAGTCAGTTCCCTGTATAGGGTTTCCAAGGAGCTGCTGGTGAGTTTAAACCGCCAACCTTGCGGTTAAAACCGACCTTGAGGTCAAGCGCTTATCCTAGGGTGCCACACCAGGACTCCAAATGTGTGTGTATGTACATGTATATCTGTATACATACATACACCATCTTTTTTCAATGGCTCTTACCTGCTTCTATATTCTCCCAGCTTTCTACTTAGCTATTCCATGTGTATTTCATTTTGCCTACATAGCCACAGCTACCTAAGAAACCTTATTTGGTCCCAAATTGTTTCTCAAAATAACAGAAACTACTGAAATCGATATAGTTCAAAACAGAGTATACTAAGAGTACTGTGCAACATTTCTCCTCCTGACAGGTTTTCCCAAGTATCAACATGGAGCCCATTCAGACTCTTTGAGACCAGAAGAACTAGACAGTGCCAGGCTACCGTTATCAACTGCCCTGAAAGGACGTACTAGCAATGCACAGAACTGCATTAAATTGGAACCTAGAGGTGGATTTATATTTAATTTGTTTAATATACAGGTTTTTGATGAATCATAAAGACTATAATACAGAGTAATATGACAGTTATGCTTAAAAAAACAAATATATAAGTGATATAAGATAAATCCATGAGTAATGTAACAACTACATGTGACCACAATAGGAAGCTTATAATGGGAAGTCTCTAATTCCAAATTCCAACACATTCTATTTTCCACAAATTAGTGTCAGAAAAAATTTTTCCATTAAGAAATCTGATTTAGTTGACCCTTTGAATATAACTATCTTGAAGTTTCTGCCTGGTCTCTTGAGACACCACATTTTCATACTGTATGCACCTATTTTGTTGATAGCCCTGGTGGTACAGCAGGTTATGCACTGGGATGCTAGCCACAACCTGAGTCCACAAACTGCTCCTTAGGAAAAAGAGGCTTTCTGCTCCAGTAAAGATTTACAGCCTCAAAACCCTACATAGAATGGCTATGAGTTGGAATCTACTTGATGGTAGGGGTGTTTGGGTACATCTTTTGAAGTTTCCATCCATAGCATGCTAACAGTATGGAAAAAATATGGTTTGAATTTGAAGATATAGTAGTACTGAAAAGCACTCAAAAAGAACCTGATTTTTAAATGTCTAAGAAATATTTCATTTCTCACTTGATGGAACTGCATAAAACTTCACTAAGATTTGCTTTTTATTCTGGAGTCCAGGTGTGGCGCTGTGTGTTAATTCGCCAGACTGCAAAGCCGTCTGAACTGCAAGGACGGGGGTTCAAGCTCACCAGCTGCTCCTTGGAAACCCTATAGAGGGTTGCTATGAGTTGGAACTGACTCGACGGCACTTAACAACAACAAGATTTGCTTTTAAGTAGCATACAGGTCTCAGCACAGTCAATTTCATCTTGACTTCCTGAATTCAAATTTCATTTATGACTATATTTACTGAGCACCTGTGTGCACAAAGCACTCAACTGGCATGGTATGGAGGATAGTAACTGGCCATAATAGTACATACTCTGCACTTAAAAAGAAAAAGCTATGGTTGTGCTTCGTCGGGCCATTGGTAATAACTACCATTGTAGGCCTCCAAAACTGCTTGATAAAACAAAAGGCAACGCTCTGATTACTGAAGGAATCCAGATTGCCAGAATCAGCAGAACCACATTTGAAAGTTAATAGCCTCCATCCTTGAACTGTCTATCCCAGGAGAAGAAAAGGAGTGATTCAAACTGTTAGCATGTGCCCAACCACAGTACACAATAACAGCTTAAGCACAACTGCCAGATACACTTGTAATTAAGAGGGCCAACCTTGACAAAGCTTCATTTGAGGGATTTTCCTCCTACTGGGAAGAATTCAGACAGCTAAGGCAAGAACCAAAAAAGCATCTCCAAGCATATAAACTGCTCAAGCCGTGAAGTTTGGGTGAACAAGTGTAGGCATCCGATCATTCCTTCAACTTACAGGCATCTATTTTGCGGCCGGGAGGAGGACGAAAGAAAAGAATGAATGACCTGCCGGCCCGATGGGAGAGCCACCTAAATAAAACAGCACACGAACGCTCGGGTCCGTGCTCTCAGAAATCGAGGGCGTTCTCCCGAGGAAAAAACGCGAACTCATCCCGAGACAGCTCAGAAAAGGCGAAGATCGTAACTTAGGACTTGCCAGTTTACATCTGGCCGGGTTCTTAATAAAGTTGACAAACTCCCAAGAAGAGGTCCATTTTGGAGACCCGCGCATCCCTTCCACTAACCCGAGGCGTCTGCGGACTGGAAGCGCCGAGAAGCAGGCGGCGCCAAGACGGAGGAGAAGCCTCTTCTCCCTCCCCCAAAGCCCCAGCAGCCGCGACGCAGGGGCAGCCGCCGGGGCGCTCAAAAGAGGGGCAGGTGTCGGCGCCAGACGCGGCCAGCTGAATTGGCAGAGCTGCGGCCACCGCGTCGCCGGCGGGCCCAGACGCAGGAAAGTTGCGCCAAGAGAACTCCAAGGCCCGCAAGCCACTTCCCCGCGCCGTCTGAGGGCTACGACACCTCCAAGCTCCCCGGAACCCTCGCGGAAACGCCTCGACTCGTCTAGCCCGGGCCCCATGGCCGAGGAGGGGAGGACGCGAGGGTCACCCGCCAGCAGGCGAGCAAAGGGTCGTGGTTGCCCGCCCCCCTCACATCCAGGCCCCACCTCCGGCCAAGTCTGGGCGCCAACACCTCACGCCCGCCAGCCCAGCCCGTCACGACCCGGGCGCCCAGACGCCGCCGCACCTCACCCGCGCGCGGCCCGCACCTCTGGGACTCGTCCCGAGCCCTCCTCGGGAAGCAGCCGGGTCAAGGCTCCTTCTTGTGCCCCTTCCCGCCTCACCTGTGCTCTGCTGCGGCTCCGCACCTCCTCGTCTCCTCTGCGCGCCCCGTCGGGGCACGAACCGACCCGACCCCCTGGCCACGACTCTCCCAGCCGCAGTGACCTGAGAGGCGGCGGCCACCGTCGCCTTCTCTTCCTCTGCAGAAGCGCCGGCAGCGATTGGAGGGGCGCAGTCGGAGCTCTACGAGGGCCAAAGCAGATTTCGCCGCCTCCGCAGTCTCCACCACCACCAAGTCCCTTCACTCGTCCGCGCCGCCCGGAGAAAATGTCACCAGAGGCCGTTCCGCTCGGCTCCTCACTTCCGCCCGGAACCATTGAGCCCGCAATGGCCGGCTAGAGCGGCTACAGCAACTGGGGCCTCTGGGGATGAGCGAGGGAGACTTGGGGGGAAGCCAGACAGCGCCATCTGGCGGGACAGACTCGCGCTCCTCCCGATGCAAAGAGCTGGGCGCACCGGAGTAGACACCTGGGCTTCTTTCCCGCTCTCCCTCCTCCAGTTCATGCAGCATCCCTCCATAAGTTTCTTTCTCGAGTGTCGGAAAGCCAGCCAATGCAAACCAGGACAATACTTTAAGAAAAAAAGATGGAGCTCCCCATCATCGTGCACTTTTCGGTACTCACCCCCTCCTTGTTGTTGTTAAATGCCGTCGAGTCGATTCCGACCCATAGCGACCCTGTATAGGGTTTCCTAGGAGCAGCTGATGAGCTTGAACGGCCGACCTTGCAGTTGAAACGGCTTTGCAGTCTGGCGCATTAACCCACAGCACCACACCAGGACTCCCACCCCCTCCTGACAGGTGTCTAAATCTTTGAGTCACTTCAGCAGGGAGCAGCTCTGGGCAGCTGTGGAACCAACATTCCGTGCAAGTTTCTGGACAGGAACTTTGCAGGCCTTGAAAATAGAACGCCACCTGCTGGTGAGACCGGTTCAGCCAAGTGCACCCCATTCCACCCCCCACGCGCGTTTCTGACGTCCCAAATTCCACCTCTGCAGTCACTCCTTTGATATGCAGTTCACCCAGAGAAGGATGACGCACCGCACCGCAGCACTCTGATGATTTTGGTGCCCTTCCTTGAAGGCTGGAGTTAGGGAGCAGGGCCCATAGGGAAGGTGAAGAGCACAGGACTTCACTGGCCATATGAAGGATTAGCCCATCCTAAAAGCAGTTTTGAGAAGCCTTTACCTTTTAAGGAGTTATGCTGGGACCTGGGGTGAAACTCCGAAAGAGGAGATTCTAACATTCTATGATGGTCAGCGGTGGTGGTGGTACTGTGTCGTGAAGTGGATTCCAACTCATAGTGACTCTGTATAGGGTTTCCAGGCTGCAAATCTTTGCAGGAGCAGAAACTGGTAGATTCTAAATACTGGGACCCTTCCGTTAGCAGCCCAATTCATAACCCACTATGCTACCTGTTACCTGAGTAGAGGAGAATTATTTGGGATAGAGGGTTGTTGTTGTTGTTGTTAAGTGCCGTCGAGTCGGTCCCAACCCATAGCGACCCTGTGTAGGGCCTCCGAGGAGCCGCCGGTGAGCTTGAACCGCCAAGCTTGTAGTTCAAACGGCTTTGCAGTCTGGCGTATTAACCCACAGCGCTACACCAAGACTCGGGGATAGAGGGTAGACATATGTTAAGATGGGTGATTGGCAGGCATCATACAAGAGGGAGGTTGGCAGAGGAAAGACCAAGACAGTGGAAGACACAGGGAGGAATGCAAGAGTTAAAGTGAATGGAAGTAAATACTGTTACGTTGGTACATTGAGGGGAATTGCAATCGTTATAATGAAGCAAAGTATATGATTTCTTGAATGTAAAACTAATGATCTCTATCAATCTTCACTCAATTCACAATAAAAAGTTTGTTTTTTTTTAAAAAAAAGAGGAGATTCTAAAACTTTTTTAGCACACTCTCTCCCCTTTAGATTAAGGAGCTCTGGTAGCTTGCGCAGGAGAAAGATGAGGCTTTCTGCTCCCATAAAGGTTCACACAGTCTCGAAAACCCTACACAGGGTCAGAACCAACTCCACCACACATGACAACCACGACCACTTTAGAGTGGCAGTTCAGCTCGGCTAGTTCCCTCATTGATGCTAACTGCCTACAGGTATGGATGTTTTCCATCCTTGACTAAACGATTAATTTGAGAAAATAATTATAATAACTTTCATTGACTATTTCAGTTACTGTTCAATGCATTCTAATAGGTTGATCCATTTAATCTTCACAACAACTCAATGAGGTTGGTAGTGTTAAAAAAATTTTTTAAACACACCACTATGGATTAAATTCAGATTCTTGGTGGTATGTTTCATGGAGTTGGTTCCGACACATAGCTACCCTGTATTGTGTTTCCGAGGCTGTGGTGTAGTGCTGTAAGATTAGCACTGGACTGCGAACCACAGGTCAGCAGTTCAAACCCACCAACTGCTTCTTGGAAACCCTGTACAGGGTCGCTATGAATCAGAATCAACTTGACGGCACTCAAAAACAATAACAAAAGAAGACCTTTACTGGAGCGGAACCTCATCTTTCTCTCACAGAACTGCCAGCCTTGCAGTTAGCAGTCTGGCTCGTAAACACTACACTACCAGAGCTCAGATTCATAGCAACCCTTATTAAGATAGCCCTGCTAGCATAGTGGTTTACAAGCCTGTCTGCTAACCACAAGCTTGGTAGTTCAAGTGTGCCAGTTGCTCTTTGGGAGAAAAATTAGGTTTTCTGCTCCCATAAAGATTTGCAATGCTAATACAGGCACTAACTCGGGGGCCACACACCAGTACTGCCTCTGAGGCTGTAATTTTGACAGAAGCAGACTGCCACATCTTTCTGCCGCAGAGCAGCCAATGGGTTCCATCCACTGACCCTTTGGTTGCAGTCCAGGGCTTTAACCACTCACCACCAGGGCTCCTTAGGTAGTCCTACTAGCTAGCCCCTATTTACAAAAAAGGAAACTGAGGCTCAAAGTGGTAAAGTAACTTCTGGTGTTAAATGCCGTCAAGTCAGTGCCAACTCATAGCAACCCTGCATAAGGTTTCTGAGAAGCGGCTGGTGGGTTTGAACCGCTGACCTTGATGTTAGCAGTCCAGTGCCGATGCTGCAGTGCTATACCAGGACTCCTAGCCAAGATCAGTTGTCAGTAAGTGGCAGGACTGGACTACAAACCAGCCCGTTCAGCTCCAGAGCCAGCATTCTTAACCCTCTGCCTCCCTGACATTTACTAAGAGCACACTGTGTGCTCGATAAAGATTCAATCTGCTATCAGTGAGGCACTTGAGTCCTGGTGTGGCACTGTGGGATAAAGCATTGGACTGCAAAGTCGGTTTGAACCACAAGGTCAGTGGTTTAAATTCACCAGCCGCTCCTCAGAAACTATACGGGGTCACTATGAGTTGGAATCAACTCGACAGCAAGAGTTACAAATCAACAAAGAGTTACAGCCTCGGAAATCCTATATAAGGTCACTTGGCACAAAAGAACAGTATGTCTTATTGTCATTTCACTCATTCACTGACTCATTTCCCTGCAGCTTTAGTCCTCAAGGAACTTTGTTCTCTCCTGGCAGGACCCGTTCCATCAACCGTTTGCTCCTGTGAGGTAGTGACAAAAGTCAGGCTCTTTCTGGTGAAAAAGAGAAAGAAAAAGAACTACTAAGTTGACATCTGTCTGTCTTGAAATAAAGGAATGAATGTGAACTAATACATTTGGTTTTAAAAAGACTTTGATAGTCTCATGTCTTCCATGTTGCAGAGATACTGAAGTAGGGCCCTCAAGGTATCCTTCCAACACTCAGCCTCCCTTCTCAGTTTGTCCTGTGCTCAAGGTACTATCTAGGCTCCTTCACATGTTTGGACCTAGGAAGTCAATTCCCTGCATTGAATGGATTGTGCGTATGTTTAGAGGCTGATACATTTGAAATCCTGATTACTAGTATCTCTACTGCTACCGTATTCAGATTGCTAAATGGGACAATTGCTTTCTCTTTCCCCTTCTAGTAGTCCTTGGGTGATGCATATGGCTAAGCACATGACTGCTAACCAAAGATTGATAGTTCAAATCCACCCAGAGGTGCCTTGGAAGAAAGATCTGGCAATCTACTGCCAGTCATTAAAATCTCTATGGCACACAGTTCTACTCTGAAACACCTGAGGTTGCCTTGAGTTGGAACAGACTCAACAACTGGTTTTCCCTTCTATAGGAGCAGGGAAGATTGAAGAGTTGATCTTACTTCTGTCTTGGAATTGTCTCCTATAGACCTCTTATGCATCAGCTTTCCAATCTCCTGAAATCCTATGCCCTCCTTAACACCTGCTGAAAAATGACTTGGAGACAGCATCTGAACTCCTCTTACTTCACAATGGGGAAAGAGAGTCAAGCTTCACATCAACCCAAGGTAGATTCCTCAGGAGGCTAAGATCAGACATGCCTCCACCCTCCAACCTTCCTTAACAAATCTGACACCAACCACCCTTCCACAGCAGTACAGTAACCACACAGAACTCAGAGGCAAAGCTAACAGTTGTAGGGTTTATTAGAGAAGTTAATAGGTTACAATTAAGGGTCAGAAATGCTCGAGACACAGTTCTTTCAACCAGGATAGCCTCTTCCTGTTGTTATTATTAGGTGCTGTCGAGTTGGTAGTGACTCATAGCAACACTGTGCATGACAGAACGAAACACTGCCTGGTCCCGGACCAATCTCACAATAATTTCTAAGATGCTTGAGCCCATTGCTGCTGCCACTGTGTCTATTCTTTGCACAGGGGTATTTCTGTTCTTTGCCAACCCTGCACTTTACCAAGCTTGATATCCTTCTCCAGGAACTGTTCCCTCCTGATAATATGTCCAAAGTATGAGGGACAAAATTGGGCCATCCTGACTTCTAAGGAACATTCTGGTTGTATTTCTTCCAGCACAGATTTGTTTGTTCTTCTGGCAGTCCGTGGTACTTTTAATATTCTTCTCTTCCTAGCCATGCCCAAAGGCAGGTCTATCTCTGGCACTCCAGCCCTCAGCTCCTTAGCCTGACCTCTGCCCTACTCAAGCAAAGTTATAAAAGTCCTTTAGTATTGCTGGTAAATGCCTTAAGTACAAATCACTCCATTGTTAGTCTCAACCTGAAGGGGCTCCATGGGGTCATGAAGCCTAGCTTCTCCAATTAAGTGCCTGGAGGCACCCTACTCTACAAGCAAACCAACCTTTCAGTGGAGTGCTTATCCTATAATGTCACACCAAGACTCCAAGCAAGGCAGTTGTTGTTGTTGTATGTCCTGAGGAGTCGGTTCCGACTCACAGCAACCCTGT